CACGCCTCACATGGTTGTGGTTTGAGTGATCGTGTGAAGCGAGAAATGGAGCTTATTCAGCAATCAGCGGAAGTACCGGACGAAATGTACACCAATTACATGACGATGTTAGTGAAGGTTTTTTTGCCGTCTGCAGTTTTTGCATTTTCTTTTTTTGCATTTTGTTCGTTGAATCTTATGATACGGCTCAAAATTGCAGGCAAGGACGATCGAAAAGATCGACACGTGACGAAAAAGGTCTCTATACTGTAAGAACTTGTTCGCTTTATCTACAAGCCGATCACAAGCTATACGAACACATTAAACGAAAAGAAGGAAATAATGATGTAATCAGGTAGCGTTGTGTTTGCATTGTCTATGACCGTTTCTTATGTGCATTGTTACCCTTCTGTTGCAAATATCCATTGGTTGTTTTTCTTAGGACGCGAGAAGAGATTGTTGGCTTGTTCTACAATCATATAAAAGCTGTGAATGAAATCTATGAAGGGACCAATTTTAATGGCATTAAAGGACTTCATTTTGTTATTCAAAGGACTTCGGTATGTGAATCGCTTGAAATTGTTTAGAAATTTATTTTTCCTCTTTGTTTGATGCCCATAAGGCAAGCTTTTTTTAGATCTATACCCCAGACACATGCGATCGAGGTCGTCCAGTTGCTGGTAGCGACAATCCTTTTTGTGAAGAGAATGTAGATGTATCAAACTTTTTAAATCTCAACTCACAACGCAATCATTCTGCTTTTTGTCTCGCTTATGCACTCACTTTCCGCGATTTTGTGGGAGGCACTCTTGGATTGGCTTGGGTGGCAAGTCCACAGTACAGTGAGTCGATAAATTTGTGTTTGCTTTTCCTTGACATTGCCAGATCTTCCCAAGTCTTTCCACTTTTTAGATACGGCTGGTGGTATTTGTCAAGTGTACCAACGTTACAACGAAGGATCGAGAGGATGGGTTTTTCGCTCATTGAATACCGGAATTGTGACGCTTGTCAACTACGGGAATCGTGTACCAACGCGAGTATCACAGCTTACACTTGCTCATGAGATTGGCCACAATTTTGGATCTCCACATGATTTTCCCCTAGGCAAGTCAATTGCTGCTGTAATAAGAATGACTAACAAAGAAACTGGTCTGGTTATTTAGAGAGGAGCAATCACTATTTGCAGTTGAGGGGGCATTGAATGTAAGCACTGACAGTGAGGTGCGCAAATAGTGAGGACCTGGGCAATGTTGACGCTATCTAGCAAGATTCCAACTGTCTATAAGTTTGTAGATGTCCGAACAGAGGATTAAGCAATTTAACAATCTGCGAAAGTTATACACACAGTTTACGAGTGGGCAAGTTCTGGTTTCAAAAACATCTGGCAAACTGCCAGATCGTTACTGAAATCACGTAAAGGCACCGTCTACCCAAGATGGAAGTTG